CTGTTGCATTCTAGTGGAGCTCTGTATAAGCAGGCTGGCTGAACCCTTCAGTTCAGTTCTGTTCTGGCCTGTGAATAAACAAGAGCTCTTTGAAGAATCACTGTGTCGTCTGATATGTTCACCCACAACTTAACAGCCTGGGTGCCAGGATGAAGCCTGACATCTCCAGAATCTGGAGTTGCATGCCTGGGGACCCTTGGATATGGACAAATATGGATATGGATAGTGTTTTCAAACACTAATACCCTGTCCTGTAGAATTCTATCAGTTATATTTTGTCTGCACAATCGGAATGAATTTCTGGAAGCAAATTGCTTTTTCTGTGCAGCCTGAGCAGGAGCTGTCGCCTTTAAGGAAAAAGAGGTCGGAATAGGCCAATATAGATGTGGACTGTTCCTGGATCAAGGGACTTTCTTTCTTTAAGTTCTCAAAGCTCTTAACCTAGCTCAAGGTTGTCGTCTGAACTGGCCAGATGTTTAACTGAGAATCCATCACAATCAGTCCATTGTTTTAAAAGCAAGAGTTGAGCAAGTAGACATTCCGTTTTAGCGATTGCAACCTTGGTTTAAGAAGTCATTTGCCCCCTAGTTTATATATCTATATACAGTGGTACCTCGGGTTACAGACACTTCAGGTTACAGATGCTTCAGGTTACAGACACTGCTAACCCAGAAGTAGTACCTCGGGTTAAGAACTTTGCTTCAGGATGAGAACAGAAATCGTGCTCTGGTGGCGTGGCAGCAGCGGGAGGCCCCATTAGCTAAAGTGGTGCTTCAGGTTAAGAACAGTTTCAGGTTAAGAACGGACCTCCAAAACGAATTAAGTACTTAACCTGAGGTACCAATGTACAGTGGTACCTCGGGTTACAGATGCTTCAGGTTACAGACTCTGCTAACCCAGAAATAGTACCTCGGGTTAAGAACTTTGCTTCAGGATGAGAACAGAAATCGTGCTCTGGCGGCGCGGCGGCAGCAGGAGGCCCCATTAGCAAAAGGGGCACCTCAGGCTAAGAACAGTTTCAGGTTAAGAACGGACCTCCAGAACGAATTAAGTTCTTAACCCAAGGTACCACTGTAAGCCCCAATGAAATCAGTACAAATGAAGTCCGTAGTTTAATTTTAGTATGCAACCCTGAGCACACCTGGACCTATTTAAATGAATGAGACTTGCTCCTCAGTAGGTATTTTTCAGGTTAGGCAGCAAGTCCCATTGTATATAAGCGTGTACCTTGGAATCCATGCAATGTTGGAAGGGTTGTTTTTTTTGACTGATTCTTACAAGCTGTAAACTTACCACATGAAAGAGCCTTACGGACACTCTGTGGTTTGTGGGCTGTATGCTGCCCGCCCCTGTAATTGAGATGTTTGCTTAGAAGTGCGGTAGAACGCAGTTGACCAAACAAGTAACACAGATTCATCATTCTGCTCCCAAGCCAAGTTTCCAAAAGCACTTGCAAATTCTCTACTCTCTCTCCCTCTGTGCATTTTTGTTTTGTTATGTGTTCATGGAATAAACAGTAGTTCCTGGGGGGGTCAGAATGGAAAACAGTCCATTCTTAAAGGAACGGGGGAAATTCAAGCCCAAACTGGCTTTGGGTGCTTTTACGACAAGGAAGGAAGGAAACTAGGGAAATAAAAGGCCTGTATAAAATAGGAGTTTCCTTGTGATTCATCTGCATTGTCATAAAAATTAATTGGAAGGGAGATGGCTCACAGTCGGCATCGACCACATGTAGCAAAACGGCAAGTTCTGCCCTCAAGCGTTTTCGGAGTTGCTTCTGCCAGTTTTTGTTTTACTGTAAGAATCTGAGCTTTTGACTGTGGTTCACTACAAAGGGTTCCAGCACACTTGCTGGGTATTGGATATCTGTATTTTATTTTGTGGGAAGCGGGTGGCGCTGTGGGTTAAACCACAGAGCCTAGGACTCGCCGATCAGAAGGTCGGCGGTTTGAATCCCCGCGACGGGGTGAGCTCCCGTTGCTCGGTCCCTGCTCCTGCCAACCTAGCAGTTCGAAAGCACGTCAAAGTGCAAGTAGATAAATAGGTACTGCTCCGGCGGGAAGGTAAACGGCGTTTCCGTGCGCTGCTCTGGTTCGCCAGAAGCGGCTTAGTCATGCTGGCCACATGACCCGGAAGCTGTACACCGGCTCCCTCGGCCAATAAAGTGAGATGAGCGCCGCAACCCCAGAGTCAGTCATGACTGGACCTAATGGTCAGGGGTCCCTTTACCTTTTTCATTTTATTTATTAGAAGGACCTCTGGTCACAGGGGTTGCAGCGGAAAGGTCTGGCTGAGGCCCTGAAGGCTTCACAGTCTCAATGTAAGTATATGCTGCCCAGTGAATGTGCTTCTGTTCACAATACCATCCATTCGTGGTCTTTTGCCTTTCTTCCTCCACCATTTCCTATCTCTTTTTCCTTGCCCCAACCTGCCAATTAGCTTTCTGTAGCTGTCCAGCATGCTCAGTCCTCACTGGTCACTTTTTGGGGGGCTCCCTCCCACTCTTAGCTCTCTGCCCCCTTAAATATTTTTCTCTGCTTCTGCAAACCCTGCAGTGTGCACCAAAAATGGGCAAAAGGTCATTTTTCTCCTTCCTTGTGCCTTAATCACCACTGAAATGAGTCATTAACTTATTAAGATTTGCAGGTCAACCTATCTGCAAGAGCTCTTGGCAACCTGCAATCTTTTATCAGGTAATGATACTGTTTTACTAGGTTATTAATCCTATATACAGAGGGCTGAGCATGTTAGGTAGCTGTGGAATGCTTAAACAGTGTCTGGATACAGGATAGGGGGGCAGAGGAATGGTGTAGCGTGGAATACAGCATAGTTGCCTAGAGCATGCCATGCTGTGACATTTTGTTGCAGTTCTTGCTTACCATGGATAATAAAGGTAAAGGGACCCCTGACCATTAGGTCCAAGCGCGGATGACTCTGGGGTTGCGGCGCTCATCTCGCTTTACTGGCCGAGGGAGCCGGCGTACAGCTGGTCATGTGGCCAGCATGACTAAGCCTCTTCTGGCGAACCAGAGCAGCGCATGGAAATGCCGTCTACCTTCCCGCCAGAGCGGTACCTATATATCTACTTGCACTTTTTGGCGTGCTTTTGAACTGCTAGGTTGGCAGGAGCAGGGACCAAGCAACGGGAGCTCATCCCGTTGCGGGGATTCGAACCGCCAACCCTCTGATCGGCAAGTCCTAGGCTCTGTGGTTTAACCCACAGTGCCACCCGCGTCCCTCCCATGAATAATAGCTTGCTAAATATAGGTAGGTGAAATACAGTAGTGCCCGCAGTTGAAATGCACTCTTTTTCATCCTTACAAGGCAGTGTTAGTGACCATCACTCCAGTTCAGGGTCTCCAGTGTGCATCAGCAGTCTCATTGTTCGTATGAAGCTCTGCCCAAGCGTCAGAAAAGCAGTGGGAATGCAGAGTCTTTTGCCTCTGCAGGTGCTAAGAATGTATGCTTCTCGGATCAGATACCTCTGCTTGCGAGGAATTATTTGTGAACTTGATATTTCTTTCTTCCCCTTTTCTCCTTCCAATAGGGCAGTGTGTTTATTTTTATTTTCCCCCGGCACATTTCTCTCCTCAAATCCTTCCGAAAACTGCATAATATGAAACTAGTTCAAGCATCTGGCCCAGAAAATGCAATTTTGGAGTCTGTTAAGCATTTTTCTCCTGCAGCGTGGTGTTTTCGGATGCAACTGTCAACTCTTGTTTCTCACTTCCCTCATGTTTGTCCATCTTTGGCATCAATTGAAACTGAATAATGATTTGAACACACACAGTCAAGGAATGAGTGTGAGTTTAGAAACAATCTACACTGCATGCAAACCTTCCTTCTTTTTTAATTCCACGAGGCCCAGTGTAAAACTCCAGAATAGTTCCATAACAGTTACCTGATCTCTTATTTCAAAAATTGATATGTGTTGGGGGTTTTTTGGTATGGCTTTATGTGTGACTTTTGTCAACCTCCTGATGTATATTTTTAAAATAGAAGTATAAATTACAATTGCATCTTACAGAAGGGTTACGTTTTGGGGGTGGCACATACATGCAAAAACATGTACGGTAGACCCTTGGGTTACGTCACTCTTGAGTAACGTAAACTTTGGGTTGCGAAAGCGGCAAACCTGGAAGTATTTTTCTGAATTTCGCCGCTTGCGCATGCACAGAAGCACTCTATTGTGCCCCGCGTAGAAGCGGCACCTCTCGATATGGATTATTTAGGGTGCGCACGGACCCCGGAATGAATTAAATTCGTATCCAGAGGGTCCACTGTATACTCAAACCACCCATTAATGAGCTCTTAAGGACCCAAGCGATTCCTGTTGCCTAAAAAACTCACTTACCAGTTGCAACCCTGACTTCACTCATTGGCTAAAAACACAGAAAGCCAGGAGCAGCCAGGCTGGCCCATTCGCAAAATCCTGCGGAAGGGTACCTGCACATTTTGTTGCATAACTTTCTTCCTAGGAGGGCTGGAGACTTACTTGAAAAAGAAAGCTCAGAGTCTTTGGCTCCTGCTGGGAATACCAGCGAAAGCCTTCATGAGTGCCATGGTGCCTGCAGGCGCCCAGCTGGCGCCACCGATGTAGTGGATTTTTAAAAAAATTTTGCAGTCCCCATAACTGCTTGGAAACTCAGTAGTAAATGTGTTCTGGGATTGGGGATGGAGGGAGACTTTGTTCCTTTTGAGAAACTCTTAACAAAAGGCACCTCTTAGGGTTCTAAAGTGCCTGATCCTGCCAGTACAATGCGGTTTAATTGTCCAAATCTCTTGCCTCTGGAGCTAAGCCCAGATTTGGGGTCATTATGTCCATTCTTCACACCAGTAGCTTTGCAGAGGTGGAAGCCTTGGTGGGGGGGAAGGGGGGAGAAGCTTTAGGCTTTCAAGGCCTCTGGTTTTTCAATCCAAGTACATTCTCTGGTGACACAATCTTGGTATTTAGGTAGGTAGCCGTGTTGGTCTGACGCAGTCGAAATAAATAAAAATATTGTCCAGTAGCACCTTAGAGACCAGCTGAGTTTGTTCTGGGTATAAGCTTTTGTGTGCATGCACGAAACAAACTTAGCTGGTCTCTAAGGTGCTACTGGACATTTTTATTTATTTATTACAATCTTGGTATGTCATGAAAAGGGATGCGGGTGGCGTTGTGGGTTAAACCACAGAGCCTAGGACTTGCCGATCAGAAGGTCGGCGGTTTGAATCCCGCAATGGGATGAGCTCCCATTGCTCAGTCCCTGCTCCTGCCAACCTAGCAGTTTGAAAGCATGTCAAAGTGCAGGTAGATAGCTAGGTACCGCTCTGGCAGGAAGGTAAAAGGCGTTTCCGTACGCTCCTCTGGTTTGCCAGAAGTGGCTCAGTCATGCTGGCCACATGACCCGGAAGCTGTACGCCGGCTCCCTCGGCCAATAAAGCGAGATGAGCGCTACAACCCCAGAGTCGGCCACGACTGGACCTAATGGTCAGGGGTCTCTTTACCTTTATGTCATGAAACCAGGTTCTTGGGACTTTGCAAGAGAAGGAAACATTTGGAGTGCTTATGAGTAAAATCTTGGTTCTTTGGCAGCATGGGTATGTAAACTCACCATTTGCAATTGCAATAGCCAAGCAAGTGCTTCTCCTGTGACTTTTGCAGCCTGTCTTCAGAGAGTGCATTGCAGGCCACCAGTCCTCTTCTTCCAAGGAGGCCTCTTCCGGGTTTGAGTCAGCTGAGATTCGAACAATGATTCTCCCCCCCCTCCCCGAATGTTCATCAGGATCCAACTCTTCATCATTTATTACAGATGCAAAAGGATTTTGCAATAGCAAATGTTAGCTATATCATAAAAATAGTATCTGAAGAAGTGTGTATGCACACGAAAGCTCATACCAATAACAAACTTAGTTGGTCTGTAAGGTGCTACTGGAAGGAATTTTTAAAAAATAAAAATAGTATGTAAGATTTGGTATGTCAAGATCACTGTTACCCACGGTTTCTTTGCTTCCTGCACCAAGTTTTGGGGGGGAAATCCCCACTCCCCACAAGTCATTGGATCCATAAATATGAACATTTTGGAAAAGAAAATTAAGTTTCAGAATGATACTCCTTTTTATGGCACGAAGAAGAGGGAGCCATAAGACCTGCCTTCCTCCAGGCATGGGATGTTTGGTTTGTCTAAAGCTTTAGATCTTCTGGGTGTGGAATTAAAGCCATTGAGTTTACTTTGGATCATTACACACAAATAGATTTAGGGTGTATAGCCTTTGGGGACCAGCCCTAAACATAAGCCATGCAAATTGTTTGTTGGCTTCTTTGATTAATTCCCAACCCTTCCTCCTAAAGGAGTCCAAGGCAGCAAACACACCAGTGGTCTTAACATCTAAACAACGTCAAAAGCATGTGGTTTATTTCTAACACGTAAGTGTCCAGCTTTATCATAAGATTGTGCAGGGCCTTTAATTGGTAAGGTTTTTGTTCTCAGTAGAGTGACCCAGAACAACCTGCTTGAATCTGAAATACCCTGGCTTTGTTGTCTGGGTTATGGAACACTGTGTTATACATAGGCATTGTGTTCCTCTAACAAAGCTGTCTTTGCTTCTTCCAATGCCCCCCTTCCTTTTTGAAACAGGGGCCTTCTCAGTTGATGAATATTGGCTAAACCAGTTAGATCTTCAGTAGCTGACTTGCGCTGAGTTATTATCACGGTCCTATATGTTGTATGGATTAAAAAAGCAAGTCGAAAAACCTGTGCCAAGGCAAAACAGATTCAGTGTGACCGAGTATAACTCCTGCAAGATAGGCCAGCTGGCATGCTTGACCCTTTTTCAGCATGGAATCCATTGTAGGGCATTGAACAAAGTGCTTGCCTTGGTCCAGGAAGGAGGTAAAGGTAAAGGGACCCGTGACCTTAGGTCCAGTCGTGGCCGACTCTGGGGTTGCGGCGTTCATATCGCTTTATTGGCCGAGGGAGCCAGCGTACAGCTTCCGGGCCATGTGGCCAGCATTACTAAGCCGCTTCTGGCGAACCAGAGCAGCGCATGGAAACAGAGAATCATAGAATCATAGAGTTGGAAGAGACCACAAGGGCCATCGAGTCCAACCCCCTGCCAAGCAGGAAACACCATCAGAGCACTCCTGACATATGGTTGTCAAGCCTCTGCTTAAAGACCTCCAAAGAAGGAGACTCCACCACACTCCTTGGCAGCAAATTCCACTGTCGAACAGCTCTTACTGTCAGGAAGTTCTTCCTAATGTTTAGGTGGAATCTTCTTTCTTGTAGTTTGGATCCATTGCTCCATGTCCGCTTCTCTGGAGCAGCAGAAAACAACCTTTCTCCCTCCTCTATGTGACATCCTTTTATATATTTGAACATGGCTATCATATCACCCCTTAACCTCCTCTTCTCCAGGCTAAACATGCCCAGCTCCCTTAGCCGTTCCTCATAAGGCATCGTTTCCAGGCCTTTGACCATTTTGGTTGCCCTCCTCTGGACACGTTCCAGTTTGTCAGTGTCCTTCTTGAACTGTGGTGCCCAGAACTGGACACAGTACTCCAGGTGAGGTCTGACCAGAGCAGAATACAGTGGCACTATTACTTCCCTTGATCTAGATGCTATACTCCTATTGATGAGTGCCAGAATTGCATTGGCTTTTTTAGCTGCCGCGTCACACTGTTGGCTCATGTCAAGTTTGTGGTCAACCAAGACTCCTAGATCCTTTTCACATGTACTGCTCTCAAGCCAGGTGTCACCCATCTTGTATTTGTGCCTCTCATTTTTTTTGCCCAAGTGCAATACTTTACATTTCTTCCTGTTAAAATTCATCTTGTTTTAACGCCGTTTACCTTTCCGCCGGAGTGGTACCTATTTATCTACTTGCACTTTGACGTGCTTTCAAACTGCTAGGTTGGCAGGAGCAGGGACCAAACAACGGGAGCTCACCCCATTGTGGGGATTCAAACTGCCGACCTTCTGATCAGCAAGCCCTAGGCTGTGTGGTTTAGACCACAGCGCCACCTGCATCCCTAGGAAGGAGGTACCTTGGTTCAAATGCTGATCCGCTCCAGAGCCTCAGTGGATCACATGGAAACTAGCCACAACCCTGGTTTCTGTACTCAACGCAGTTAAAACAAACCAGAGTTTCCTACGTTTGTGCATCATGGGGAAACTATGGTTGGTTCAAAAGCAGGTGCCTTCAGCCTCCTATGTGAATGGCGTGTCAGCCTGAGGTTTGTCCCAGAAATGCCTGAGTAAATCTCTTGAACTAGGCTGCAGTCTTTGAAATATGAATGTATGTAAATTGGGGGGTTCACATGCCATTGTAAAAAAAAACCTGCCTCCCCACTGGTGGGTTTCTCTCAGACTGCAAATGTGCCGCATTGTTATCAGAAGCTGGGGGAAACTTCCAGCATGTTTATCAGCTTGTGTTCTTCTGCATCTTTCTGTCCTTGTGGAATTTCTGGAATCCTCCTCATAGTTGCCGTAGATCTTAAAGCAGCCTGCTTATCACATGGGAAGTCGGCGAGAATGAATAAGCATAAGCTAGTTGTAATAAACTGTGGAATGTTTTTCATTGCCGGGGCCAAAAGCTGTCTGATATAATGCAGCGTTTCCTGCCGATGGCATGGCATAGCTCTGTGGGATCTTTAACCCCAAACGAAGGAAGGAACCGGTGCAGGGTAGATTGAGGTGGTGAAATCCATTTGCCGAAAAGCAGCTCATTCGCTCACACTAACCGGGGAGAAATTGGTGGGAAGTTAGCAGGGAGTTGCTAGCCTAGGTAATCATAACTGCTGGAGAGCAAATAAATAAATGAGAGAATTATTTCTTTTCTGTGGTGGCTCTCCCTTTGTGGAATGCTCTTTCAGGGATGCTCACCTGGCGCATATCTTTAAGTGCCAGGTGAAAACCTTTCTCTTCAGCCAGGCATTTGGCTGATTAACATTCTACAGCTTTTTAAATGTGTTTGTGGGATGGGGGTTATTGGTTTGTTTTCTTTTATTGTGTATTTTGCATTCTGATTTTGTATTTTTCTGATGTGAACCAGCCTGGGATCTTCGGGTGAAGGGCAGTGTGATAATAATAATAATAATAATAATAATAATATACTTCAGTAAATCTGCACTGCAGAAGCTGCAGGCACACTTTGCCAAGGAGATCTGTGTTAGCCGTTTGTAGTGTATTAATTGCCTGAAATGAGAAACCATTCTCCTAGAGCAGCCTTTCTCAACCTCGGGTCCCCAGATGTTGTTGGACTACAACTCCCATCACCCCTAGCTAGCAAGGCCAGAGCTCAGGGATGATGGGAGTTGTAGTCCAACAACATCTGGGGACCCAAGGTTGAGAAACACTGTCCTAGAGGCAACTAGGCAAGTAAGTGGCTAAATCAGATTGCATAAACTAGATTGGGGGGGGTGCCCTCAAGGTAATGGGATTGGAAGGGACACCGAGGGTCATCTAGTCCAACCCCCTGAAATGCAGGAATCATGTTACAACTTCCAGCATCTGAGACCTTGGGCCTTGCAGCCACCATGCTGACAACCCCTACTGGGATTAAGGGCTAGTTATTGTGAGATCTTTGCCTGCACTGTGCCAGTGCAGATGGCAGCTGCCATGACTGAAAGCTGCCCATCAAAGTCCACTGTGGTTTGGCCCTGTATTCGGTGTTGGTTATTGGCTCTGCTACCTGAGCCACCTTTTTCGTATTGGGCTCTGGCCCTCCACCGTTATATTTTCCCACAGGTGGACCCCTCAGGGTTTCAGTAAAGAAAGAAAGGAAAACGAAATATCGCAGGTCTGAAATCTGCTTGCGTCCACATTTAGATTACCGTATTTTTCGCGCTATAAGACGCACCAGACCACAAGACGCACCTAGTTTTTCGAGGAGGAAAACAAGAAAAAAAATATTCTGAATCTCAGAAGCCAGAACAACAAGAGGGATCGCTTCGCAGTAAAAGCAGCAATCCCTCTTGCTGTTCTGGGTTCTGGGATAGCTGCGCAGCCTGCATTCGCTCCATAAGACGCACACACATTTCTCCTTACCTTTTAGGAGGGAAAAAGTGAGTCTTATAGAGGAAAAAATACAGTATATACCCCAATATCCCCTGCGATGCAAG